CCTCTGTATAGCTTTCATTCAGAATACAATTCCACAAGTCCGTTCATAAGTTTCGTGTTGAATTGGACAGTAAAATAGCATTAAGGTAGACGGTGAGTTCAATTCGTGATGTGACAATTGAAGGGGAGTGTGAAGGACCGTGTGAAACTGATGGGCAACAAATGCTAGTGAACTAGAACTGACAGCTGCTTGAGGGATGAGTCCAAGGACTGTTTCAACTGATGTGCAACATCGGAGGTCCGTAAATCTCAGGTAGTGGAACAATCTACGGTAAAAGTGGAGAAAACGGCTTGATCAATGGGCGAAATACTTCAATGAACAACAGATTTGAATATGGGTATGGTTTGCAGCTCAGGTTGATGGTTTATGGGGTCTTGTGTTCGCTGAGCTTGGCGTTTAGATCGCAAAGTTTCATCACCAGCCGAGGTGACATCGTCAGTGCGTTGGTCCAACCAACGCAATTTGTCAGGTATGTTTGCAGGATACACCCGACCTTGCTCCACACCCATATGCGTGGAGCGTTTGGACGTTAAACGGTAAGCAGTACATTTAACGATTAACAAATTGGGTTTAGTACCAGCTTTCAGAATGTCATACATGAGAATACGACGTAATTTAACAACAAATTTCCAATTACTTGTTGTATTTCAGACCGGTTAACATTCCATCTCATCGGGAGGCACAAACGTAAGTTAGCCCTTATTGGCAAATTTTTATTTGATTTCCTATGATTATTGTACTCCAATGTTACCTATTTTTTATAGATCGCTACCTAAATCGGAAAGCAGACATGCAGTACCAAGTTCCAATAGTAGTAGCCAAGTAGAGATTTTAAGGGCAATAGACCGCCTACTCAGTAAGTTGCTAATGTTTTCTACATTTTTTCAAAAGGTGCCGTGAAAGAACTAACCGTTCAAGTCGTTGCAACTTCTGATGGAAAAAAAGTCTTAAACGGAAATTCAACCAGCCCCTTGATCACTTGAAAAGCAGGAAGGACGTTCCCGTTCTGAATTGTCGCATACCTGCGAAAACTGTATCGGATCTGAACGATTTGATCCAGAAGATGGAAGAGGAATCGTTTTACGGGGATCTGGTACGTATCCATTTACTAATTATACTACATTGCAGGTTAATTACTTTCCACGCGTTGAAGCAGATTCCGTCAGTCACTGCTTCCGCGCGATGTTCAAACTTCTGCTGGCCGACAGTTAGTGCTTCAGAATAAACTGGAGAGGCTCCAATGGAAAAATGAGGTTGTGCAACACCAAAGTTGCCAAACTAATATATATATAATACGGCAATGGTTATACATTTAATAATTGATAGATAGACGCCATAAGAAGGAAAGGGGTATCCGTCAGCGATCTGGACATCATCAAGGGCAAGGTGCAGCTGTGGATACAGAGGACAAGACAGTCAGTCAATGAATTCGCCGACGACTGTCCTTAATAGGATCAGGGTGTTCAGTGTCCATGGTATTTATTTTATGTATTTTCATATGATAAAAGAAATAATAATGCATTATTACGTGTACTGTTGGTTTGCTACATAGATTTTCAAATAATTATGGCTAAAAAACGTGTCATTGTTCTTTTCTGAATTGATTTTCATTAGATTCCTTACTTTAATAATTATTGCGTTTGTTTTGAAACAACATGAGTCATGTTTATTCTTTCTTTGCATTTTCAGATGTAGATGGTCGAGGAAGATTAATTTGCCTTCTGAAATCCCTTTGTACAAA